AAAGAACTCGTGCAAAACTCTAACGCTTTGAACGAAAGAAGCCGACCAGAAAAGAGAAGGTAAAAAAGCCAAGCTCCTCTTATCAGTTGTTGGATAACATTATTTTAATCTAAATAATTAATTAACTAATTAAAAATATTTAATTATTAATACATTATTAATTAAGTACTTATATTATTTCAAAAATAATTCAACAGGATTAAATTGATTATAAATAACAATAATATTATAATATTATAAATAATGTAGTATTAGAATATTAATTAGTACTAATAAAGCTTTGTTTATGTTTTATTAAATTTCTCTTTTTTTTTTTATTTAGAAATTCAAATTCATGAATGTGAGGGCTAACAGCTTACTTGAAGCATAACAGTTGCATATTTTCACTCAAAATTAAGACATACTCTATTATGATAATTTGTGAAATAATATACAAAATATAGAATTAAGAAGCATATCTTTTATCAAATTCACAACTTCAGAATGCACGGAATTCACAAATTTTAACCAAATGTGGTGATATTGGGGGAGAATTGATTATGGGGAGTTAATTTCATTAAAGGACCTGTTTGGTTGGAAAGTAAGTGGTATAGAAATATTTCAAATGCAGCGTAATTCAAAAATATTAGTGTTTGGGTTGGATGAAGGAAAAGAAATGCAAAAAATTAAAATTAAATATAATGTATCATTTATAGAATAAATTAAACTCGCCAATTTTGAGCAGAACATTTACATGCAAAACAACTCGGCTTGACTGACATCCGCCTCCATTACAAGTTGTACCACCCACTCTATGGAGGAACCACTATTTTATCTACCATCACTACCTGCCACGGCGCCACCCACTTTGGATCGCGCACCGGCCACTGTTACCGGCCATGCTGACCGTCACCCACCACTGCCCACCTTCCACTCTATGAAATCCATCATCGTCATCACTCACGTCGTCGACAAATCCAAGATTGCTTTAAAAAAATGACCAAACACCTATTGAAGTAATTCGGAACGGGTCAATTTTGAAGCATCAATAAGCCTCTTTTTTCTGGCGCCAAAGAAGGACCTTCTTCCAACTAACATAAACTGTTCCCAAGAAACCTCAGCTGCAACAAAACCACAGAGAAAGTGGATAGATTCCAGTTCAAAACCAATTCATATGCCAGAAAAACATATTGCAAAAGAATAAAGGTCGCCACTAATTTAGTTTTTCAAAAACAAATGAACAACCACACAAGCAATTAAAACATAGCCAAATAGTTATATGAATAATGAAAGTATGATTTTAAGAGCAATATTAGACAAACAACAAAAAGCTGAAAACATCGGCTGCAAAAGAATAAGTAAAGGTAATTTATGCATATATAAAAGCATAAATAGAAAGGTACAACTGCAAAAAATAGAAAAAATATTTTTGAAGAAGTCCTACAATGCTCTATTGATTACCTGAAGATGCAATACACTGTCAGCACCTTTCCTTTGTATTGATATCATTATACGTAATGAGAGACAACATAAAACGCATTTTTTCAAGACTTTTCAGTGATGCTGTGGTGAACCCTCTTACTGTCAACTCCAAATCTCCATAAATGGCATATAGCCATTCAAATATACAACTCTTTGGTAAAAGTTGGCAAGATAGTGTTCAAGGGTCTAAAATAGATTGAACTATTTTAACAACTGAAATATTGTTGTGCGGGTACGGTTGCCCGTGCCCATTTAAAGACAATCAACGATACAAAACAATTAAGGAACATACATACAATAGAAGAATCCACTGCATTAATCATATTCATTATTATCATCATTAACCACTCCCAACCATTTAGGATTGGCAATTCAATTGCAATTGAACCAAGAAAAATTGTTAATTTCTAGTGCTCTAATATTGGAACAACCTTTTCATCAACTTGATGTTTGATAACCATAGGTTTTGGCCATTCCTTCGAATTTTTGCAATTCCATATGCTTCCTGAGAAAAGCAATATTTGAGTTCTCTCCTCCATCCAATATTTGGTAAACAAAGAGAAAAACCATCCCACATAAGTACTGAGAGTTCCTAACTCCCATTGCATAAGGAAGAATTGGCCACCTCCATAATGTTCCTAACGACCACAAAATAGTTGAAGATATACACAAAGATGAAAATAAGTAATGTTATTTGAGCATCTAAATAAAGCAAAAACCTTCTCCTCATAGAGTTGAATTTATAGATTGTAGTGGTAACTTCATATTTCATACTCTTCTCTCAGTCTCCACTCATCGAACTCAAGGGTATGCTCCTCGAGACAATAAGTATAATCCCAATGTCACACGGGGTAATGGAGTTGCAAAACATAAGGATCCATACAGAGTCCAGCTATGAGCATTCGTGACTAGTCAAATTATGAAAAGAGAATGTTGGGGTAATCTAGAATATTTGAAATTTTGGATTGGAAAACTGTGCATTGAGTGCAATATAATAAACTGATTGTTCTTCATTAGAACTTGTACGAGATGATAAATAAATGTAAGAAAATAATTAGATACAAACTTCAGATTAGAAGGCCCTGAAGAAATTATAATGATTCGAATTCCTTAAGGATGTAACTATTCTTCTTCCTTTTTTCCCCGCTTGAATGATGCTACTTAATCAAAATTCAAAAGACAAGCTTTCCTAGATTCCCCTATTGGAAAAGTTGGAGGTCCTAATAAATGTAGTACCTAAATGCAGACATGAAGGAAAAAAAAGCGTAATAAATTGTCAAGGACCTAACCATGATGAATTTAGCAATCACAATAAAAATGCTTTCATTATTGGTCTTCCTAGCTTAAAATTCATTTTTCTAGAGTTCAGGGTGTCATATGATCAAATAGTAAAGCTACAATATATATATATTCCAAATCTGGATTACCCTAAACCCAAGAGAGCAGCAATGTTGTACAACGGAATATAAAGTTCTTAATAGAAGAAAATTCTAATGTCCTTGACAATTACTAAAGTGTTATTTAAGACTAAGGATTCGTTTGGGATACTTTCTTTTCCAGTTTTTCTTTAAAGGCAGCTTCTTAGTACAAAATTTTAATTTTTATACTAGAAGCTGCTTTTAGAAAGCAATAAGAAAGCCGTCCCATCACGACAAGATGGGGCAAAAATAATGGCGTGGAACAAGGAAATGAAGTTCATATGTTCCTTCAAAATCTCAAATGCCTTGGCAAAATAAGAGACATTCTATTTTATAAAAATACTTTGATAGATATAACCCTGCAGCACCGCATGCTTTTGAATATGGTCACATGTTTGTACAGGTAAAACTAAATTTCTTCTACATCCTATTAGATGGGAGCATTTTTCTTAAAAATTTCAATTCAAATTCATAAAGAAGAGAGTCTACCAAGCAGCAGCACACAAGTATCTCAAAATCTACAAGATGACTTGATCATATAAAGTACTTCACCCCCTTCACATAATTGTTACGTCTAACCATGTAATAAATGAAGACTAACAAAGCCAAGTGGTAGGCTAATCTAGATGTGAAGTTAAGTTAAGACAAACCAGGGAATCCGATAACATCACTGGTTTGTTATCGGATTTTTCCAAGTAGAAGCATCCTCACCTGCTAGAATTTTTGTTGTTGTTGTTGTTGTAGAACATGTGCATCGCTTTAATATCTAATCTAACCATTTGAAATTTTGGGTTAAGATTAAATTAATGTCTTCCTTAGGGTGTTCAAGAATACATCTCCAAGCCCTTTAATACCTATATTATACACAATTGGGTGTTCAATAATCATTACGTGTTAGAGTTATCTTATTATACAAGAAGCAATAAATAATACCTGCCTAATATTTAATTTTCGTTTAGGCCAGCGCTCTCCTGTGAAGGTACTGTTTTAGGTAGGCCGTAAAAGAAGCGGCAGTTGTTGAAGCAACTAACCAACTGCAAAAATAAGAAACGCGAGGAAACAAAGTATTCAAATTTTGCAGTGAAAGCATTAATAAATTTCTTTTGCCATCATTTAACATCAATGAATTCAAGAGAACAAAAAAATTGAAAAGAAAACGTCAGTGAATTCCAATATCAACATAGTATAATAAATAGGTCGGGAACTAATGGGATGGGATCAATTATAACAATTATTAATGAAAATTTTCAACATTCATTGTACACACCTTTAGTCTTTAGTTGTCTTCACATTTTACATGTATTGGTTGGGTCATAGCAAGAATATTCTTTCTCGGGGATAAAATGCCCTACCGAATTCATGGGGAAATCCGTTCGAAGAGAGGACGTCACTCACCAGCATACACTCTAGGAACTCGCCCTACGTGGAACTTTTATTTGGTCCGGTCACCTGACGTAGCTTTACGTTCGGACGCCAGTAAAATAGTGTCATGTGTTCTCACTATTTACCGTGCGGCCCGACAACCCCGACCCGGAACGGAGACGGGATTGCTATGTTCGCGTGTTGCTAGGTATTGCTCGGTATTGGTCGATTTTGCTCGGCAATAACGAGAAATATCATTCTGTGAAGATCAATACCGAACAATACCGAGTAATACCGAGCAATTGGTATTTCTCGGTATTGCTCGGTATTGGTCTTCACAGAGCGATATTTTTCATTATTACCAAGAAATACCTAGCAATATTGAGCAATACCTAGAGCAATACGCGAACATAGCAATCCTGGGTCAAGTCGTCGGGCCGCGCGGTATTGAGTAAGACCACGTGGCGACATGTTATTGACATTCGAACGTAGAGCTACGTCAGGTCACCTGAACTAATAATTATTCCCCTACGTGGGGCAATCATAAGGCCCCCCTCAGTCCAAATCAGTTCATTGTTTGGAGCCCTTAGAGTTAGTGGAATGTTCATGCAGGAAAGCGCCTATCTCAACAACCTCTTATTATGACACAATTTATTCTAGATTCGAAGACTTCCATGCCGACCCGCCCTTCAGTTCACTCTATCAAGAAGCCGACGTCGAATACCCTATATTATTAACCGCTGTTACAAGACATCCCGTCGGATGTGCATACATCCTCATAGAATTCATCCTACGATAATTCGCCCTCCATTGAGCTCGCCCAACGACAAACTGCACGGCAAATCATTAACTTTGCCTCCTCAAAGGACCTATTAAGTTGTGCCATGTGCCCTTGGATTCATGGTTTAAAATTGCGCAATATGAGGCTCGCCTTTGCACAATTCCAGTAAAAAACAATTATGTAATTCTTAACTCTGTGTTATAATCAGTTAATAGTATATCTGGATATTCATTGAAAAATATAAAATCCTGCACATACTTCAAAAGGCATAATAAAATACACATTTAAAAGGTTTCCTATCAAATAGCACCAAATCATTCATATAAATAGATGCTCGAGTTATTGGATATATCATGATCGATACATAAATGGATCGAGTCATATGTTCTTTTACCCAAAAAAAAAGTCTTTCTATTTTGCATGGTCCAATCATTGATCCCCGGAATTTCTACAATAAATTTGATAGGTAACTAGTAGAATTCTTGTATGTATATGAATTATTGTATGTTTCCTATCAAATAGCACCAAATCATTCATATAACATCCAAAACAAATGCCTCCATGAACATTAAATTAAATGGTCATAAGCTCAAACTAACAATAACAACAGCAACATCAAATCCCACTACGTGGAGTCAATTACATGAATCATTTTTCTCCATGGTGTCCTATTAAGAATCAAATTCTTATTTAAATATAATAAAAAGATACATTTTTATACTTTGTAACCAAGTTTTTTTAGGTCAACATCAATTTTTCTTAACATAGGCCATATCTAATACATCTACTCTCTTAAATGGGTCATCATAAGCCCAATGTTTTATGAGACCAAACCATCCAAGTTGCCTCTGATGAGGACATTGACAGACGTTTTCGACGAGTATATCAGCACAGGAGTCGCATATCGATGGCTACGATCCACAACCTTTATTTTGATGCTTAGTCTTTATTTTGATGGTTTATGTATTAATTGGTATTTATGGTTGTACCCTTTATTTTGAGTCTGCTTGAGTTGTAGCCCCAGAAGCATTTGAGTCATTGTATTTTATTTTCTTAGGCCTATATATTGTGGCATCCTCTATTATATCGGATGATGAATGATGAATGAGAATTCCACTTTTCTTACTTGATCTCTTTGTGAGTTCTTGAGAGGAGAAGCCCAAGTGAGGGTGAGAGCAATACCCGTCAACCTTAGTGGATTCATAGGTTCGCGGTTCGTCGTCTTCTTCTTTTCTCCTACATCCCACCCCCTCAATTCCCCATAGCACCCGCCGGCCTCCCCCTTCCACCTTTTTTTTTTCTTCCTCAAAGACTAGCCTCCTCCCTGAACCCCTACAGCCGGCCCCTTTGGCTCCCAAGCCGCTGGCCTCCAGTCAAGGCCCAACGGCCGACCCAGCCCGCTGGCTACCCCTCCATACTCCCCTAAGTTTGAATTTCAAATTTCAAATTACCCATAATTACTTTCCTAAAATGCATCCATGCTATTTAGAAAATATTCATTATTGAGATTCAATCTATTTTGAATTTCAAACACCTTCCTATGAAAATAACCCCTCATTAGGAAGTTACCTTAATTTAAATCAAATCTGAAATTAAAATCTGATTTGATTTAAATCACATTAACTCCATTGAGGACCACATGCATTGCATCTAGACATATTCTCCCCTCCTATGGCTGACCCCCTGATGCGGACATCCAACCGTCCATGCTTATCCGAGGAGAAAATTCAAAGAAGAGGGGGAGAAGGAGGCGGCGGCAAGGTGGGAGGGGACGGCGGGCTGGAGGCTGGCCGCGGATGCTGGTGTAGGATTGGCCGGCGGAGGAGGCCTTGGCGGCCGGTGGTCTTGATGGTTTCCAAGGGGTCGACGACAGCAAGGTGAGGGAGGAGGAAGAGGAGAAAATCTGAGGATTTTCGTTGCTTTGATTCCACCACCTGTTAATCTTTCAAGACTCGATCTCCACAACAACGAATAGATCAAAGAGAACTAAAAGGAAACGAAAATATAAGAAACCTAGAACTCACAAAGAGATCTAGTTTTTCCTACGAAACTCACTAAGAGATCGATGAGAGTGAACTCACTAAGAGATCACCATGAACTCACTAAGAGATCAACAAGAACATAAAATTTTCATTATCAATAATTCATCATCCAAATACAAGAGAAGGGGCCTCTATATATAGGCCTCAAAGAAATTAAAAGACACATTTGCCCCTTGGGCTTACATAAGACAAGAGGGTAAAAAGGGAAATTGCAAAAATTAAATAAAAATACACTTAATAAACTGAAATGAAATAAAGTGATCTCGGCCGTCAATCTTCAGCTC